TGTGATTCTGGAGAGTGCTGTGACTCGGATTCTACCTGTAAGAGCGTTTGTTCCCATAGCCTCACTGGGGCAGCCATTGGAGGCATTGTCTTTGGCTGTTTGGTTCTCGCTGCCATTGTGATTTCCATACTGGCTTGCTGCTGCTGTGCTTGTTGCCCGTATTATCGTCATCGTCACCACCCAGGAACAGTTTTAGTCACACAACCTATGGGTGCGACAGTCACTGCAACAACAACACAGCAGACCATTCAACAGCCACCACCTGTGGGATACAACCAGCCACTGCCTGTGGGATTCAACCAACCACCACCTGTGGGATATAACCAGCCGCCGCCTGTGGGATTCAACCAACCACCTACTATGGGATACAACCCACCACCAGGAGGATTCTACCAACCAGTAGGTGACGCACCACCGCCTTATGTTCCTCCTCAGGCCTCTGGAGTAACAGCATACCCTCCCCCTGGGGCACAAGGGTCAGCTCCATACCCCCCTGCCCAGGCAGTGTACCAAGGAAGCACTGGACAACCATTCAAGCAGTAATGGTTCATCTTGAGCAGTTTGTTTTTTGTCATTAGTTAAAATTCACAACTTTGGCTGGTAAAACTATTTTTAGTTTTTAGTTTAATTATTAGTTTATGAATGATATGACAATAATATGCAGACACCTAAAGCTAAAAACCTTGACTATGCCTTGTCAAGCGGCTCCTTTGTCTCTGAAAATTGGGTAAAAGAATGCTTCTTATGATTTATTTGTTAGATAGTAATGGGGCAATTTCATCCTCAGATACCCAAGGGTAGTCAATCGGGTTGGGAGAAAAGACACAACAAAAGATTTCAAGCACAGACAAAAAAGCCCCAAGTCTTATTGGACCATTTCCAAATGGTCAAGTGGATGCTGGCTCCTGATTGGGTGCAAAAAATGCTTTGTTTTTTTGTACCCAATCAGCAAACAGCATCTCCTGAGTTCTTTTCATGTGTACGTACACAACGGCTATTGTCTCGCCATACTTGTCTGGTTCATTTGCCAAGGTTGTGCTTGCAAGGGAAACTTCCAAATCAGAAACGAAGGACCTACTGATGAGTTGAAAAAACATTGCATGCTACCAACAGTAGCATTTCAATTTGCACCGAGAAAATTCTGCTTCTGACCGATAACAAGGGATTGTAATTATTAGGGAGTGTAAGATGCCACGACGTAGACGACAATAAGAACGCCAAAAAAGCAGTATCTTGACAAGGCTTGACTTGACTTTACACGTGCATCAGGTGTTTTTGTACATTTCTTTGCCACCACTGCACAACTACCATGTGAAAATGCCAAATTTCATATTTTTGGAGGATGTAGACAAGCAGTGACAAAATTTTCTTTCTCTTTCTGAACTTGGATATGGTTGATAGGAATTCAGCTCCAGAGGAGTTTGCTTGTATTTGAACAGGTAAGCAATTGGAATAATCACGATAGAGACTGAAAAAACTGTGTGCATTTCTTTGGTGTGTGAGCTAGACAACCCATGATCGAGTCAATAGCTGTAGTGTACGAACTCACAAAAAGAGATCAGGAGATGCTGTTCACCGATTGGGCACAATAATACCAAGCATTTTTCGTGCCCAATCGGGAGCCGGTGTTTGGAAATGGTTCGGTGAGAGTCGCTGAAAACCTTTGTCGCGCCTTTTATCCCAGCCCGACTCACTGCCCCTGGGTCTCCGAGGATGAGGCAATTTTGGAAGGGAATATCTGTCTTAGAAACCTGAATTTCAAACTGGGCTAACTGTGGAAATACCAGTATATGCCACTGAAGTTTAATGACTAATATTATGTATTCATCTAAAATTGCCCTTAAATAATTAAAATCATCTTTTGAGCATAACAAGTTTGCATGTAGTATCTCACTTTGCAAACCAGAAGGTAGTGTTGAAAGGTTTAAGTCTCAAGTTGACATTAAAAGTAGAAAAGTATGTACTCCACTATATATTATAACATTTAAGTATTTATTGCATGCGGAAATGCAATTTTTTTTGTTATATTTTTTCTTAAAACATACAGCCAAGCTGTTAATATTGTATTGGACAGTTGCCCGTATTCCTGTGAAGAATAGTACCAACTCAAGGCTAGGCTTGAAAAGTGCAGCAATTTGTTGAAAATTCTTCACCCTTGTTTTATTGGGTGTGCTCAGTGGGGCAAACTGCAAGAAAGATCTATTATTAATGTTAGTGTTTTTATGTAGTCTTGTAATAATGGTATTGTGTTTGGGAAAATAAAGGTAATCATTGATTGAATGTTTTTTTGGTTTTATGAACAATGATACAGGTTTGGCGGGGCACTGCAGTTCTCTGCGTTACTTCATCTACAATGAATGTACCTGTAAGTTACATGTACAATACTGGTTTTCTCTCTTTGGCTTACTTCTTTTGTATCACAAGATTACTGGTTGCCAACAAGCAGCCTCGCGAAGAAGCAAGGCTGCAAGGTGGCAGCCTAATAGAGACGTGCGCGATAGTTCCAGGGGCAGACAAAATCTTGTATCGATGTAACATATAGTAATGTAAGGCAACATTTGTGACGTAATGCAGAACAGAGAATGCATTGTTTTTGAGCAAACACGTGATACAGAATCCACGAGCCATGTGCGTGTTTGTGAGTCCTGTGCTCGTAACGTCTTCAACCAATTGGCGGGTGGATATTCATTTGCATCAAAGGAGATAGTTGTCGAATTTGCTTGTTGGAACAATGCGGTAAAATTTATTGCATCTTTGAAGGAAAATAATTTGGAAGGCTTCAGCAGCTCACCACAAATCTTATTAAGCTTTAAAAAGAGACCAAATATAGAACTATTTGTTGAATATTAGCGGACTTAAACATGATTTTTCAAGGATTCTAAATTGACTTACAAGACCACTAAATTTTATGCAAAATAATGTACGCAACTTCAGACAAAATGGAAATTCAGTATCTCGAAAAACGTGCAAGGAAGTAAAGTCGGGATTTCCAATTCTTTATGCAGTAGAGAAGTTTGGTTCACTCCTTTCAAAAGACAAACTTAAAGCGAGGGGCACACATACACCTAGGCTCGATTTCCGCCGTCTCCTGGGTCCGGTCTTTGATCCTCCCCGAAGAGAGACGGCTGGACGCGTGACCCGTTGACCTTGTCTGTGACGTAACTGGAAAATTGATAATTTAGGCGTCTCCGATATCACTGGAAGTGAAACCGGTCTTCAATTTTCTTATTCATTTGGCTCAAAATTACATCAAGCGTTCCCTTAGCCACCCAAATGACATTCGAAATAGTTTTTTCGGGACATATCCCTACATTTTGAAAAAGATTCTTCGGTACATTTCTATACACGGCGACATGTACTGTAGTTAATTTTCTTTGATCTTCGAATATTGGTTGCGTCTTCTGTGGGTCCGAACTGACTGATTCTTGGAAGCGGACCAAATTAAATGGAAAAGTTTCTCATTTACCAGACAGAATTTCCAGCGTATTGAATGTTCCTCTGTCAAATATAAACGTGGACGGTTTAATCTATAACGAATGCAGTTATCGAGACCTAAAGCGCCTTGGAAAGATCCTTGAATATGCAAAATCTCTCCAACCACAATCATTCACAACAAACAATCGAACAAGTGTCTCTGCGCCATTGAAATCGCCTCGCCATGCGATGGATCAAGGAAGCAGGGAAGGAAGGACTTTCTGTTTTGATGTGATAATTTCTGCGACAATCTTTGACGAAAATCTGCTGGCGGTAACACGATTGGCTTAAACCAACAAAGGAAATCGCACGCGTCCAGCAGCTCTTTCGGGGGATGAGTGTGGGCTCATTTTCCCGAACAGCGGCTGGTAATCGAGCCTAACATACACCAACCCATAATCCAACTCTTCCGCGCATGTCTTGGGAAAACTGCCACGGTTCCCAACCAACAGCTCCAATGTGTTGTGTG